AAAAAAAAAAAAAAAAAAAAAAAAAAAAAAAAAAAAAAAAAAAAAAAAAAAAAAAACGTTAAATGGCCCCTGACTATATATGTCTGACAGACATTAGAAGAATATAATTTTGACATGTTCAAATTTATGATTGAAAGAATGTCCTGGAAACAGGATGTAATTGTGTATCATTTACAGAAATCTAAAGAAAATACAAATATGAAACGAAACTGCACATCACAGAATTCTCTAGAACTTAAAGGCATTTACAGTTCAACATTTTTAAGTGATTTCTTAAAACCTTTTCCATCAGTTCAATGACCGTATTTTGTCTGCATTATAGTTGTGTCTTCATTCCAGCTAGCCCTCTGTTAATAACAACACACTTAAATTTAGTGTTTGTGGAGTCCTGATTTATTTTTTCTTTGCTTTTATGTGCAATAATTGTTATGCATGTGAATTATCTACCACATTGCAACAGGCAAGCTTTGGTTCAATTTTCTTGTCCTACACAAAGTAAGATTTTGAGTGCAGAATCTCAGCTACTAAGTCCTGTGATGCCTTTTTTTTATTTTTTTCTCTTGTTGGGGTGGATTTATTGGAGAAAATTGGGGAAGGGAAGGGAGGAGAAGGGAGAGGGTGGGGAGGGCAGAACAGGAGGAGTTCTCAGCTATGTAGAGTCTTGATTCACAACTTTGCCGCCATTCATGGTGGGTGTTCCCGAGCTTTTCCTTGAACGGCCTTGCTTTTCTCCAATTTCATGTAGCGATGGTTCTCTGTACATACACACTGGAAGGCAAAAAACACAAAAAATTACTTATGATGATCAATATAGACATGGCTTCAATGAACTTCCTGAATCTGACTTTAGAATGTTCAGAATATTTAGAATATTCAGAGCATCCTTCATCAGGAGTGATAACTGGATGAGGATAGAGAAGTAGAAAAATATCAATGTATTTCCTTAATTGGCCCAGCCTTCCTTCACCTAAACTAAGGCCCAGAGTCCATGTACAGTTAGCTACTCTCCAATAGGGAATGTGGCTATTCAATGGAAGATTAAGATCACCTCCTCTCTTCTCTGTCTGCCTCTAAGGTTATCATCTGAGAGCTATCATGGCTTCTGTTCAATTATCACTTAGAATGAGTAGAGTTTTCCAATTCGTAGCTATTCTTAAAAGATAAATCACCACAATGAGTCTTCTAACCTCACTGGGCTGTTGTGATAGAGACGAATGTGTCTACATAGGCATATTTTATTTAAGCATCAGGAGTTACTTTCCTTCTTAAAATAAGAACAAATAAATATCTTTGTCTATTCTGGCTATTATCACTACAATGGTTCAGTAATATGAATGGTGCCTCTAAAATCAAATAGTTTCTTTTCTTGGGTAAGATTTGGGAATTTATATCTTCAGGAGCTGAACTATTTGGTCCATAGGCTTACTTAGCTGTTTATTGACTGTCAACCAGGCACACTTTATAACAGAAAAAAAAATGGCATTTTTATCAGCAGGAGTAGGTAACAAACATCTAAAATGATCAAGAAATATAAAAAAAAGAATGCCATTCATTAAGATTTTAGACAACATGTTGTAGAGAATACAGGATAAACTGTTCAGATCTAAGCTATGCCAATACTTCCAAAACATACAAAAACACAAAGCACGGTTCTTCTGACACTAGATCATTTAAGAGACAGGTTTTCTCCCCAGTGTGTTACTAGTGTATTTAGCAGTACTGTGCATTTATACTAAGTATGGGTATTGTTACTATGTGACTTATGAGCCATTAGTTCTGTGGTTGATTTTGGGATCGTCTACTTTTACTAAGTGACCAGATGATGCTGATGAAATACAACACACGTTCTCTGAGTAATACAGAATATAGATATGAAAAATGCTTTTTCAATGTCTTATGCAAGAGTATCACACATAATCTATTTTTGAATGACATGTTTAAACCTTTCATTTATTTCCATGAATATTTCTCATATCTCCAAATGCCGTTGGTTGAAGTGGAAGGGTGCAACCTATAGGTAAGCTGTGCACTAATAGCTGAGAGAGTTGATTCTGATGTTTTCAAATGGTGTAAATAGGTAATTCAACTTCTTTAACAATAACAAGAAGAATCCTAGAAAAATCGTATAGTATGGCCCTCTAGATTGTTGAAGTCCCTCAAGTGTCCTAGCTCTTAATTGTATTTCTGTTTTGAGGAAAGTAGAGCAGGCACCAAATCTCCAAGGTGAAGGGAAACTTTTATTTGTGCATAATATATCCACTTATCTACCACTGGCTAATGCACAGGGCAACTCAAAGGTAATGAAGTGATTCCATTGGAAAACAATCCACAGGCTGCCAGGAAGCAGTTTTCTGAACTCCATCACCTAATTGGCTGTGAAAACTCACAGTCTCCATGCTCCAGCACAGATCACTTAAATCATCATCTCAATGGATACAAAGAACCTTTCTGTTTAAATACCCAGAAAAAAATATTGGACCTCAGATGACTTCAAAATCATCTTAGGGGACTACTTAAAGGGTGTGATATTGATTGATAACCACTAAATAATGTCTTTGTATAGTTGATTTCTTAGAGTTTCACCATCCCTTCTGTTCTCATTATATAGATCCTACCCAAGTTATACATTTGAGCATTTATTTTTATGTATTTTCTATTTCTCACATATACACAAAGTACTTCAAGTATAAACACACACATATTAGCACTAAAATTAGTGCTGCAGGCAAATTTTCCAATAATTGAACCCTACTGGCCATCCTTGAAATGGAGTCTGCAAAGAAATTTCCAAACTGACCTCTGGAAATTTACAGTTTATCAAAGTAAAACTCAGTAATGCTACAACAGAAGATGCAGTTTTTCTTTTAGGGTAATTCAGTCACTACCTCTTTATATACCCTATTAAACTGAATAATAAAATTTAGGGTTTTAATAAACCAAATGATTAACAAGTGTGTTTTCCAGGTCACTGAAAGGAACTGTCCCTCACCCACCCAATGAATCAAATAGGTATTTTATTCTCTACATTGCTGTTTACAAAGTGGATTTGGATTGTAAGACAAAGAAAAATCAGGTCATTCTGGGAATTGCATGCAAATACAGAAATGGGGAGGAGCAAGGCAGGGAGGAGAAGAGGAAGGGTGGGAGGGAGGGAAGTAAGGAGGGAGGGAGAGAGAAAAAGAGGGAGGGAGGGATGAATAGAGACAGAGACAGAGAACTATTAAACCAATTACTTTTTCATTATCATTTACATCCTGGAACTCAGCAAAACATCTAACTTTAGACTGTAACAAGTAAAGGGCTCCAGGTCTCAATCAGATTTTAGAACTAAAATGTACTTTACAGAGTGCAACTGAATTCAGTCACAACATGAAGAAAAAGGACAGGGAAAGGACAAGCACTCTTTAGTGTGGTGACAGCCAACTCTACTAGTTGTAATAACTTTCTGTGAGTCCAGTTATGAATACTTCAAAATAAATTATGGAACAAAATTTAAGAAGTGACAAAGCATAAGATGTCTGACAAACATATTTTAAGTCAAAATGTAAACTGTTAATGCCACAAATAAATCTGTCATTTTGAAGTATTCAAAGCCACTTTAAATTGATCCTCTCATTTACTGATTAGAATAACTTGGTGATCACCAGAGGTAAGAAATTATCTTCATTTTTAAATATAAATAAAAGTAAATGACTTCCCTAATATCAAGGGCTGAGCAGTGGCAGATCCAGGATGAGCCTGTCCAGTCAGGAGATCTGATCTAAACAAGATTCAACACACTAACTGATATTAGACAATATTTACATTATTGTGGTTGCATATTAATTAATATTTAAAGTTGGCCTTACTTTCACTAAATATTGCTGTAGTCATCAAGGAATGATTTTGAAAACAAATATGACATATATATGGTAAAAACAGTAAGTAGAAAGTAACAAACGTTGGCAGGTATATGAAGAAATTGGAACACTTATTTATTGTTGCTCAGAGTAGGTGGTACACCCACAGTGAGAAATGACAATTGTCATCCTTCCCAAGAGATAGAACCTATACCTTTTCTGTTATTTTACCTTTAAATTCTCAGTGCTACTTCCAACCTTATCAGATTCACATGAGAATAAGCACCTACTGCAAGTGTTATGGTTGAGTAAACCTGGTCTAAGGGATCACATCATGCTTTAAAATGTCAACTAGGAACAGTTGCCATATTGAGATAACACACATTTGTACACACAGTCACTAAGTGGCACCCCTCCATTATTTTCTTAATGAAGCTCAAGCCTATAATGTGAGGACATGATTTTTGCTGACTTTGTTCTGACAATAAAACCATTCCTCTTCTCTTCTTCCTCATTTTAATAAACACCACCATCATTCACCAGCTGCTCACGTATTAAGCTTGACAGTCACCAATGATTTCTTTCTTTCTGTCTAATATCCTGGAGCCATTAAATTAGAATGCTCTACTAGGTCTAGCATCAAAATAAACAGTCATTCTTTCCTCCTTTAGCGATAAACCCCAGACTCTGAGCTACCTCCACCGAGAGAAGATTCTAGCACTTTGCCTTGCAATCTTCCTCCAAGTGTGTAATGATTTCCCAAAACATTAAACAGAAAAGCTAATGCCTTATGGCAACTACAAGGTCTCAAGTTCTCTGGACTTTAACCTAACTTTCTAGCTTCCTTCTACAAACCATTTTCCCCTAAAATCAACTGCATGCAGACAAACTGCCATTCTTGTTCATAATCAGAAATGCTGGATCACCTCGGATGTTTGTAACTCCTGTTTATTTGCCTGGACAAACACTTCCCTCAGATCATTGGTTAATATTACTAAATTTCAATGCTCTTTAAATATTATTAATTCATAATGTCTAATGAAAGATTTACTTCAATCACTACATAAGATGGTTTGAAATACTTTTCCTTTGGGACTAGTATATAGTGACAGTTTTAAATGTTTGCCCATTTGTTATTTATCCACAAAAATGCATAGAAATGTTTTCTTCATTAGTACCAAATTCCCTCTTATGGTGAATGACACGTTACTAAGTGTTCCATGATCATTTTCCATATGAATATCAAAACTGCAGGTATCCCTGTTTGGGATACAGATGAACTTTTTCCTCAAAGTCAATGAATCTTTCTCTTCCTCTAAAATCCTAAATCTTAATCCCTAGAACATACTTGTGTGACCGTAAAATGGATGATTTTGGAGTGGGCACTGCACAGTAGGTCACATTTACCAAGATTCTTTAGTTTACTGATACTTTTATTTTTAAATCTCCTTTATCTTCACAGGCATAAGAACATTTCATGGCAAAGAAAATGAATCAGGAAAGCTAACCACAAACCCTCCCTTTCCTCCACAGGAACATATGATAAGTTGTAGAGTCCAGAAAACAAAGAGCCTGAAGACCTTCACTTCTAGCAATCTCCCAAGTTCCTGTTTGTTAAAGTGTGACACCCCCCAATACACACTCTCACACCAGCAACAGCAACAGCAACAGCAGCACATGAAACTTAAGAAAGGACATTCTTAGACACACCCAGACCCATAGAGTTAAAAAACTCAGAGGGTGAGCATCCAACACTTGGTGCTTTAACACGTCCTCCAGGAGATTCTGAAGAACACTGTATTTACAGAGATGCCACACTTAATTGTTGTATGAAAATCAGCAGTGTCACCTTCTAAGCAATGAATTCATGTATATATGTCCTGCCTGTGCAGATTTTAACTCTCAAACAGAGAATTCACAATCGCAGGA